ATAAACATTAATAAATGCTGGAGAAGATGCAGAGAAGAAGGAACACTTTGATACTGCTGGTGGTACTGTAAGTTAGTACTATGGAAATGGATGAGGAGATTCTGCAAAAGACTAGGAATGGAACCACCATATATATGATCCAGCTGTACCACTCCTCAGTATTCACTCTAAAGGATTAAAGTCACCATACAATCGAGATCCCCAAGTTTGGAGTAGCACAATTCACAATAGTCAAACTATGGAACTAGTCTAGGTGTCCACCAATGTGTAAATGAATAAAGAAAATGTGGAGTTTTATTCAGCATAATGAAGAAATCTGTAGGAAAATGGATGGAACTTGACAATTTTATGTTAATTGAATAAACCAAACTCAGAAAAGCAAGGATTTTATGTTTTCTGTCACATGTGGAAGCTAAAGAAGAAAAAGAAGAGAAAGGTGGGGGGAACTCAAGGAAATCAAAGGGAGATCAGTAGAGAAGAGGAAAAGGACCTAGTGAGGGAGGAGGGAAGGTACAGGAGAAATCTGGGGAATGATATTGGCCAAATGATATAGTTGTATCGTGTGCACATCAGAATACAGAACAACGGATCCCACTATTGTGTACAATCATAACGCATCAATAAAATACAAAAGAATTAAAATAAATTTCTTCCATTTTCCTTTGAATTCCCAAAATATTTCTTCTAGCTTCTGCTTAAAGCAACTTATTTTATTCTCTGCTGTTTGGGTACAAAGGCCTCCACTGTTTAACTGTGAGTTCCCTGAGTCAGAGACCCTCTCAGTTCACCTTGGTACAGCCCACAACATACCCTGGACCTTCCATGCACAGAGTGGGAATTCAAAGAATTCTCACAAAACAAGAGAATAGGGTCTGGAGCCTCAAGGGTATGTTTTTGTAATTAATTTACTTGATTTTTCTTTTTGTGATCTAGGGCTGGAACCCAGAGTCTCATGCATGCTAGGCAAGTGCTCTCCCACGGAGTTCCACCCCCATCTTTAGAATGACAGCAACATCAACTGTGGTGAGTGGGTTCTGTTAGCTTCTCAAGCAGCTAAAGGATGTGCTGAGTGGTGGGGCCTTTGGAATACCGACTGGTTCCTGGTGAGTATTTGGAACACAATCAGAGATCTAAAACAGAAAATAAAACACACAAAAAACCCCAAACCAACCTAACCTTAAAACTTGACTTATTTTAAACAGAACAATATGATTCTTCTCAAACTGTGGAGCTGAACAATCCTCCTCTTTATTTCAATGAAACCAACACAGACATTGAACCTTCAAAACAACAACCAAAGGCCCCAAAGCCCCTGACCTTGCTGCGCCTTGGCAGGCTGCAGGACAATGACTCAACCTACAGGGCTCTCTAGTGAACCCTAAATTCAGTTTCATTTTCTGATTAGAAAGGACTTATTTTCAGCATCAAGTGGAGGTGAATGGAAGAAGGGGAGGGAGGTGGAGGGGGAGATAGTTTCACAACAATTTGAGAGATGGTGAGATTTACATGCTCTCTGCATAAGAAACAGCCCCAGGGACCAATCATAGAAACCGACAACACCTACCTAAGACAAAAACTTTCAGAACACTAGGCTTATTAATTTTCTTGTATTTGCTTTAGTTCACGTGAGCTTCTCATATATAAAACATTGCAATAATAAAATAAATAAACAAATAAAATAAAATCGGCTCCTAGAATTTTAATAGGGTAAGAAGCAATCCCATAACCTGTTGCTCTGCAGCATCAATTCATCGGCAACAGTTTTCATTCCATTTGTAGTTTTGCCAAAAAAGTAGTCAATCTCCCATCAATCCCTTCCCCAAACGGTTAGATCATTATCAGTCCATTTGTGAGCCTACTCCTATTTAAAGTTTTTGCTAGAACTGTACCCAATGAGGGTTACAACAACTCAAAAACCTTTCAAATATAAGGCTCTGCTCCAAAACTTTTACGTCATTTGTACTTGGACTTTACAAACAATTTCCATTATTTTTTCAGCAATTTTTTTATTTAAGTAAATTTTATTTATTCTCCAAATAAAACTATAGTCTGTCTCAATAGCAGTATCCAGGGAAGAAAAGAGTTCCTGAAAAAAAATTGACTGTAATTATAAGGAAGGGAAAGGATTATGAGATGCTGTGGGGAGAAGAATTACGAGAAAGGGATGGTGTGGATGAGAAGAAATCGAAATCAAAAAGGTCTGGCTCACAAAAAGGGCTGGGCAGAGATGTCTGAGGCCATTTCTGCACAGGCACAATGGAGTATGTGTTTCAAAAAGGCCAGGAAACAGAGTTCCTTCCATCATGAGCCATGGGGTACTGACCATGAACTTTAATTTCAGCAGAGCAGGGGCAAGAAGGTCCGATACCTTTCCTTACTCATCATAAGGAACACCCCTGTGACAAAAGACTAATCAACAAGAGAAAAGCAAAGCAGACTTATTTAATCAAATGTTATATAATATGGCAGCCTTCAGAATGGAACCAAAGACCTGGGGGAAAACTCTATTTTTATGCTTAGGTTTAATGACACCATTTAGAAAAGTGATTAGGAAAATGTTATGATCTAATGCAATAAAATGAATGGGGGAAATTCAGCAAAGCCTATCTGTTTGGCTTCTCCTTGGACTCTTCTATGTGTCATTTCTTCCTCCCAGGACAGGGCAGGACCTTCTGGAATGAGGGTCTTATGATACACTATCCGACAGGGTAGGTCAGAGAATTTCTTTATGGCCAAAAAAGGTGCAGGGTGGGGAGATAGTATTTCTAGATTTTGTGGCTGGCTTTAGGGGAGAGGGGTTCTAGTTTTTGTGGCCTGTATTAGGGGAGAAAAAAAGAGTAGGAGAAAGAAGATTAGGAGAAGTTTGGATAGAGAGTTTGCTTCTGAGGCCCTTCTGATGGCCTTCAGTTCAAAGTATGCAGCATGGCAGAGCATCACATTTTGGGGTCCTATTTTTTCTGGGTTCCCACAGCAGAGGTGCCCATGCCATGTTCTCAATGGCCAACAATGCTGACTGTCATAGAACCACGGGAGGCACTCACTATTCCTTACCGCTGTGACAAGTCTCACCAGCTACTGTGCAACGTGGGGGCCAATCCTCACCCTCACCCTCCACATCCTGTGAGCAACAAAGCTCTGTCCACTTCCTAAATGCTTCTTCTACCTCACCTCTCTCACCATCCCTATCCTTTGGCCTAAACTACTACAATGGTCCCTTAAGGTCATGTGGTCTTAGAGTCGATCTGCTCAGCACATGTCAATCAATTTGCCTCCCCAGGCTTTCGCTCATCCTTCAGATGCCAACCGTATCTGGCTTTTTCGATTCCTAAAATGTTCCAAAGCTGTTCACGCAACTGATACCTTTTCCTTCCAAGATTCCTTCCACTCACACATTTACCCTCACTCCCCTTTTGGATCTTTCAAGTCTTTACTGCAGGTAAGGTCCCTGGCATGTGCTCCCTGCTAATACAGAAATATAATTCTGTAATCAATTGTTGAGTGACTCTTCCTGTGTCAGTGACTCTTCCTGTGTCACTCTGAGGTCAGAGCTTGTGTTTGTCTATGTATGTTCTCATCTGTAATATGTGGGTAAATAATTCAAGCAGAGGATTTAACACAGTACCTGGTATATAAGGCCTATGTAAGCTTTGGCTGTAATAATAATCAACATTGTGCCTAGGACAAAGTATGTGCTCGATAATATGTTGAATTAAAGAGGAATGAGTAAATGGATGGCTAAGAGTTCACCAATGCAGACGGCTCCCCCTTTTCCCCACCCAGCTGCTATCTATAATAAATAGAGCAAAGCTGAATAGAAAACAGTCACAGAAAGGACTCAGTGATTTTCATTTCTGCTGCCATCATGATAAATGGTATCTTTGTTTTCCTGGATTTGAATTCATTGTACTGTGTTGTTGAAGAACTATTCAATGCAGGGAGATTTGGAATTAAGAGCTACAGGAATGTGATATCACAAAATATATCTCCACACTTCTCCAAGTTGTCTTTATTAATTAAAGCACATGCTTCTTAATGAACACCACACTCTGGTGGTTCCCGGGCTAGATACTTGAGGAAGCCACACATATCAGGTAGTACATTCCAACAAATGTTTGCACAGAAAATGTTAACATGTTGCCAAAAAGGGAAAATTTCACCATTTTTCCCAGTACACACCACACTTCTGATTCCTCCATATCCTGGACAAGGCACCAGTCACATGACTGCATCATGCCATGCTGGTCTAACAAGGGGAAACATACACAAACAGGCCTGGGCTTCGGGAAGGTTCTGTACTAGCAGTACCAAAAGCTAAAAAAGGGGAAGATGCTTCTGAGTTGGTCCAATCATTTTGCTAATTTATTGCTCTTTAAGGTTGTAATAAAACTTTAAATACTTTAATTTTTTTTACTTTAAAATTATTTTGCTGTAGATAGCTCATTTGGATTTAGTAATAAACAAGACATCATTTTGTTATTAATGTGACATTTGATCTTCCTTGTTCCTTCTTAAGGGCAGAGGAAGGTTTTTCTTTCCTGTCTCTAAAGTTCACTTTTCTACTCTGCACCTTTCCAGTTCTACCTTTGAATGCTATGAAAATTCATACTTTGTTTTTCTCAGTTCAGTCATTAATTTGGGAAACTAGTATTTAAGAGATTTGGGGAAATTAATTTGGGAAACTAGTATTTAAGAGATTAAGGGTAGGGGCAGGGGATTAGCAAGGGTGGTGGAATTTGATAGACATCATTATCCAAAGTACATGTGTGAAGACACGAATTGGTGTCAACATATCTTATATACAACCAGAAATTTGAAAAATTTTGCTGTATATGTTTAATAAGAATTATAATGCATTCCGCTGTCATTTATTTTTTTAAAAAAATCAATAAAAAGAGATTTGTTAGAAAAATACATTGTTAGTGTCTTCGCCCTTGCACATTTACAACTACACTGAAACCCAGTAGAGGCCATGAAAAACACTAGACATTTAATCAACTGACCTGACTTTTTGTGGAGCAAACTGGATCTGTTCCTGAGCATGCTGCAATCCTGGGACTGTGTCGGGGCTGAGAGCAGTGATGTCCTCTGACCTTCTGGGTTTCCAGGTGGGAAGGGTGAGCTCTGGACGAGTCTGATTTCACTTCTGTCCACACTAGAGAAGTGGAGAGCATCCTGAGTTTTCTTCTTTTCCTTTTTTAACATGTTGACTAAAATATCTGAAATTTGACTTAAGGAATAAATGACTCATCCTAGATTATAATGATCAAAATACAAATGATCCAAATGCAGTTAATAGTCCCCAAACCACTTGCTCCTGAACATATGGTAAAGACTGACTAAAGGAAGATTTTAACTTTCCAAATTCCTACTACACAGTTGTGGACAATAAGGAGGCTATTAGTCTTCTACCATGACACTACGAGGTGAAAAATTAGCAAACTCAATGTTTTTCAAAATGTTCTTAGTTTAAACCAGATGTCTTAGATTTTTTATGAAAGAGTTAATAAAAAGTAAAGTGAATACTTTACTTGTACTAGGCAGTGAAGCTGTGCATTTTTCTGTGAGTATATAGGTCTTTTATCTGGGAAGATTCCCCTGATTCAGTACCACCTTGTTTTATACTTTGTGAAGGTGTGTCTGGGGTTTGTTCAAACGGATGATGTCACTGAAATGGAACCTTGTAACTCCCACCATGGACATTCATGTTGTTGGTGGTCACTTTGACAGCACTACTATCTTTTGTTGATCTCCAGTATAATCTACCCCCACCTACTCCCATGGGAAATAGTGTCTTTCTCACACCTGTCACAATCTGAGCCTTCTGGGTCTACAAAGACAGATAAGAAAACATCCTCCAAACCCGACTGGGTAACTGTGATGCATCAAGAGCCTTTATTGGTTTTCAGCCTTTGATGAACGTAAGTTTTGAGATGATTAAATCTTAGCTGTTGTTTTTCCTTCTTCTGATTTTACTTACTGTTTACCTCAGCACAGCTTCCATTATGGGATGCTCTAGAATGCCTGGGCACATTCTGGTTTTGCTCAGCATAGTGAGATTGACAGGGCAGGTCTTAACGCTCCTGCTCCTGAAGGATAGGAAACAGCTTCATCAAGTAGTCATTCAGCTAATAAAAGAAGAGCTAGGATTTCAATCCAAGTATGGATTCAAGATCAGTATTCTGTCCACTCTGACAGCAAACACACCATCATTTTGAATATGAGACTCAGATGGCGGAAACTCAGTAAAGAATCTAGTGTAGCCCCATGTGAATAGTGGTACCCAGATTCACCGCAGTGAAGAAGAGAGATGATGTATGTCTCTCTTTCTCTCTCATTCTCTTTTAAAAATAAATGTATATGAACAAGCCTGGCCTGTTCCCTCTTTGTCATATCTCATTTCATCCCTCCTATAGGCACAGACATTCATAAGTCATGAAGCGGATTAAGAAGTTGGTAGGAGTATTTAGGAGAGAAGATCCTGGACTAGGATCAGGGCCAGGAAAAGAAGCAGAGCTCAGACTGGGGCTGAGGCCAGGACTGAGGTCCAGGCTGAGACCATCCCTGGAGATGGATGGGGTAAGAGAGAGGGAAAGGAATGCAAGGGTGACAACATTTGTGGACAGCACTCACAGACAAGGGCTCATGTGGGGGTGTAATTCACAGTTGAACCTACTGTTACTGGCTGAATAATAAAGCAGCTAAAACTTACTTGAATCTGACATACGGGGTCTGCTAATGCTCAACTAAAATTAAAGACTGAAGTTAATCAGGCAGCAGACTTACTTTGTATTTGGTTTGTTTTTACCTCTTTATTTCTGGATTTTCTTTACATAGATTACTTTTATGCATTTTGCACAATAGCTGAAGCTAAAGTATCTTTAGAAAATTTTTAAAATGAGCAAAAAATATCTGCTTATAATGAACTGACCAAAATTATTTCCTGTGTGTGTTTAAATGCTGCAAACGTCATGAAAATGTCAAGTCTTTTAACAAGAAGGAATACTGAAGAAATCTCAGGGAGTCCTGAGGTCTAACCCGCCACCAGGGGCTCTTTAGAAGTAACCACCTAGTCTGCAACTAGGAGCAGCTCATGTCCCAGGGACTGCCACCACTCTCAGGACCCCAGATATGCTGCCTCCTGGAGCCAATAAGAATTCTGTCCTGAACACTCATCTATTCCCACTTCCAAATTTGGAAACATTTGTAAGTAGAACCCAAAGTAGTAGATCTCCTTTTAAATAAAAGGTTACATTTAAATCAATCTCTGCTCTTCATCAGCTAAATACCATTTACCATTTCTTCACCATGATTTGAGTTTCACCCACATACCAGCCACAAACTCTGGGCCATGGTAAGGCTGTGGTCAGCCCGGTGTCCGGTCAGCTAGCTAAAGATAACCAGCTAACTGACTGGCTCAGGACTGAACCAGAAAGAGCACCACAGAGGAGTCAAAAATCATATTTTCACAAATCTAATGTGAAGAGATGGCATAAAAAAGCTCGTGCTTTTCTGTAAACTGAAATGTTCTCTGTAGAGAAACTATATCAGGCTAAAAGTGAGGTCAAATGTTTTCTTTTGTAGCTACTCTTTTTCACTAGTGACGGCACTGTGTTTGCTAAAGGGACATTTTACTTCTCAGTGGAAAGGGACAAGGTGATTGGGAGGAAGGGTGGGCCCCTGAGTGATGTGGCCGTGGGGAGTCACCTGTTCCCACGCCCCTGAGTTTCATGGCCTCAGGAAGGATACTGATTTCATTATCCCTCTGCTTTAGAAGGTCTCGTAGCTTTTTATATTCTTCCTCTCTCACTGGTTCTTGGCAGTCTGGCTCTTTGATTTCAGAGGAGACTGTACTGTTCCTGAGGATCTTCTTGTCATTCAATAGTTTCTGTAAGTTGAAAGAACAGTTTTGCCCCTATACCGCCATTCCAAATTTTCTTGTTTGGCTCTTTTCCCTTTAACAATTCCCTGAACATAAGCATGCCTTGTCCTGACTCCTTGAATTCACAGTCGCTTTTCTCACTCGCTTGTCCCCCAACCCACCTGCCTTCCACATTCCCTTCTCCCCCATCTTTATCTCTCCTTTCCTAAATTGGGAAATTCTTCCTCAAACATTATCTCCTCTTGGACTCTCTTCCCTTTCTACGTAACATAATAGCACTCAGTTCATACTTTTATAGCCCTTATCTGTCTTCTCCATGACTCTTCAACATTGCCTTCCCAATCCTGGCCCACAGCAGACTCACAGACAGGTTTGCTATCTTACAGAGGTATGAAAAAATACAACTACGGTAGAAGGAACATGTAACGATAACCCCATTTCCTCATCAGGAAAGGTAAAATCCAAGGCAGAGGAAAGTGAAGTATAAGGATAAATAAAAAATACAATACACGATTCACTTGATATTATTTTAAAATTGGTTTTTGGAACACAGAACTATTCTGTGTAGAGGTAGAGATTCCTGGCAAAAGAATTTGAAGTCCATGGTTTGAGCTTATTTATTGGCAAGTAAGATCTGATCTCGGGAGAAAGTGGGTGGTGATCACAGCATTGGTTCAAAGCTCATACCATTTTCTGTGAAGCTGGGTCCTAACTTTTCAAGGCTTGGTCAACCAGAAAAGTTTTTTATTGCAGTTGGAACATGGCAGGAAATGGTTGCTACTGAAGGAAACATTTAAACTTACCTTTAAATGATGAAAACAGTGATGAATTTTACGCATATCAGCTCCAACCTCTAGTCTACTCTGTGGATCCTGGTCTTCCAAAAAGGATGTTATTAGTTTTTCCAGCCTAAAAATACATAATGCATGAGAAGCAAGTTTGAGCTAGAAGCTTTAGAAATTTTCATGGCCATACTAGGTTCATATTTGAAGTCCAGGATATTACTCTCACATTTTCACAGAAAATGGACTACAAAAATTAAAGGAGGAAAAACATAGTGATAAAGTGAAATCTATAACGATGCAATCACTTGGCTCATTTCCAATGAATGTTCACAGGCAGTTTTCAGGAATGATTTGATTTCTACCATCCCTCCATTCTAGTCAAACGGAATTTCTCTGCTCTTATATCTAGCTGTCATAGTGCTAGAGAAAATGATGAAAAATTATTTTTTAAAAAAAATTGGTTTCATTAAAAATTCATGCTATGCAGCCCCCCCCCCCTCCCACCCCGACATCTCAGTGATGCTTCATAGTTAATTCCTGGTTAATTTATGGTCTTTACAGTGGCTATTCTAGATCTTTCCATAACTCCTCAATCTATCACTACGTTTTCACTCTCCATCAATAAAGCAGCTTCTCACCAGAAGGAGAAAGTTAGGCTGATTCAAACAGATACCTCAGTTTCCTTCTCCTTCATCTCAGGGTGTTTTGCCTCACACCCAGGCCCTGTTCCTTCTTTTATTTAATTTGGATAATATCCTTCCTCCTTCTTAAGCCTAACCTCTTGCCTGGGCTCTTCTTGCTTCTTCTAGAGCTTCCTTGACTAATATTACCTGTTTTCTCTTCCTCGCCTGTTAATCATCTCTCTGTGTGGACTCTTTCCTCTTTGCTTACAATGAGTTTCATATTTTTCCTATTCTAAGACAAAACAGAAAGCAAAATACGCCCCATTGGAGAGACCCTCCCACCACTCTATTTGGAAGTCCCACTTTAGATTGTAGCAGTTGAGTTCCAGAGTCTGTATATGCACCTGGCCTTCCACCTGCACCCCACCTCCTTTAAAAGTATCATGAGGCAATTCTTGACTCCGATTCATCTTTGTTTTTCCCTCCCCCAGGTTTTAGATTCTTAATACAAATATGTTAATTAGCTAATGCATTTCACCACATGAAAATCATTCCCTTTTATGTTGAGTTAGAATTCTTGATAAGGAGGGTTTTAGGAAGGCCATCAATTTCTAAGATGCTACGTATCCTAACGCCACTGCAGCGTATTTTTCTAGCATTGCTATGAAAATATTTGCAGACTTTCAGCCTCTTTAAAAAATGAACACACCTTCCTTCCACTGTTCCTATCAGTCCTCTCAAGATATAATGATTTTTATCACAGAGTACCCTTGGATGTCCTTTTTATCTCTTTCTGTAGTCTGCAACATGGGACAGCTGACATTTGCAACTGTAAGATGATTCACATTGTCATTCTTTTTTTTATTGTTGGTTATTCAAAACATTACATAGTTCTTGATATATCATATTTCACATTTTGATTCAAGTGGGTTATGAACTCCTATTTTTACCCTGTATACAGCTTGCAGAATCACATCAGTTACACTTCCATTGATTTACATATTGACATACTCATATCTGTTGTATTCTGCTGCCTTTCCTATCCTCTACTATCCCCCCTCCCCTCCCTTCCCCTCCCCTCTTCTCTCTCTACCCCCTCTACTGTAATTCATTCCTCCCCCTTGTATTATTTTTCCCTTTACCCTCACTTCCTCTTGTATGTAATTTTGTATAACCCTGAGGATCTCCTTCCATTTCCATGCAATTTCCCTTCTCTCTCCCTTTCCCTCCCACCTCTCATCCTTGTTTAATGTTGGTCTTCTTCTCATGCTCTTCTTCCCTAGTCTGTTCTTAGTTACTCTCTTTATATCAAAGAAGACATTTGGCATTTGTTTTTTAGGGCTTGGCTAGCTTCACTTAGCATAATCTGCTCTAATGCCATCCATTTCCCTCCAAATTCTATGATTTTGTCATTTTTTAATGCAGAATAATACTCCATTGTGTATAAATGCCACATTTTTTTTATCCATTTGTCTATTGAAGGGCATCTAGGTTGGTTCCACAGTCTTGCTATTGTGAATTGTGCTGCTATGAACATCGATGCAGCAGTGTAGCATGCTCTTTTTAGGTCTTTAGGGAATAGACCTAGAAGGGGAATAGCTGGGTCAAATGGTGGTTCCATTCCCAGCTTTCCAAGAAATCTCCATACTGCTTTCCAAATTGGCTGCACCAATTTGCAGTCCCACCAACAATGTATAAGTGTACCCTTTTAAGGAGATTCTTCAGTGGAGGGGCACCATTTGATGTTTGATATGTTTATTTATAGAACAGAGCTAATTCATTTCTGACACAATGATTAAAAAATTTTTGTATGTCAAGTATTACTAAAACACATGTTTATCATCAGCGGCCCCATATCGGCGGCCTTCTCTATGGTTTGACCAAAATTAGAAATTCAGCTGTGAGTGATGAAAAGGTAAAAGCTCCCACTCCCTTGCCACCCTTCCCATTTGCCTCATTTGCACTTAATTCCTGAGTTCACTGTTAATAACTGAAATATATTCTTCTAGTTTTCAATGAAGCAGATACCTATATATGATATATTCAGTTGTGGATTATCTTTGCTTTCACAAAAATGAGATCACACTCTGGATAATGTTCTGCACCATTCTTTTTTTGTGGTACTGGAGGTTAAACCCAGAGTCTCCTGTGTGGTAGGCAAGTGCTCTACCACTGAGGTAGATCCCCAGCTCTATTTTATTTTATTTTAAGATAGAGTCTCACTAAGGTTGCTCAGGTGGCTTTGAACTTGCCATCCCCCTGCCTCAGCCTCTGGAGTATCTGGGATTACAGGTGTACACCAGCATGCTAGCCTTATTCATCCAAAGACTATCACAGGTAATCTTCCACATCAGTACACATGCAGTGGAAGTGTGTTATTTTCAATGGCTCTGTAATACCCTAGACTGTGACTGCACTGCTACTATCATGACTGGCACAGAGGTAACGTGTTCCCAGTTGCCACCTTCCTCGAAACTCATGAGGAGGCATGGATCTACAATTGCCATTGAATGAACCTTCAAAAGATAGTACTGTTTATCAACTTGGACTTTCCCTGAGTCCTTAGCAGAGATTCTGAAATTTTTGGAAATTTCCATGACTTCTAGATTTCTGTGGAGTGAAAGCACTCTATGGTGTCCAGTGTCCACAAAATTTCTAGCAGATGAGATTAAGTGGTCAGCAACAGTTAATCAGTTCTTCCTTCTTGCTCTTTCTTTTTAATTTTTTTATTTGTTCTAATTAGTTATACATGACATAGAGTGCATTTTAATTCATTGTACAGAAATGGAGTGCAACTTTTCATTTCTCTGGTTGTACACAGTGTGGAGTTGCACCACATGTGCAGACATACCTAGGGTAATGATGTTTGTATCATTCCACCATCTTTCTTATCCTCACGCCCCCTCTCCTCCCTTCTTCCCCTTGGACCAAAGTTCCTCCATTCCTCCCATGTTCCAACCTCTCATTAGGATCAGCATCCACTTATCAGAGAAAACATTCAGCCCCCGGTTTTTTGAGATTGGCTTAATTTGCTTAGCATGATATTCTCCAACTCCATTCATTTTCCTGCAAATGCCATAATTTTATTCTCTTTTAGTGCTGAGTAATATTGCATTGTGTATATATACCACAGATTCTTTATCCATTCGTCTACTGAAGGGCATCTAGGATGCTTCCATAGTTTAGCTACTGGGAATTGTGCAGTTATAAACATCAAAGTGGCTGTGTCACTACAGTATGCTGATTTTAAGTCCTTTGGGTATAGTCCAAGGAGTGAGATAGCTGGGTTAAATGGTGGTTCCATTCCAAGTTTTCTAAGTAATCTCCATACTTCTTTCCAGATTGGTTGCACCAATTTGCAGTCCCACCAGCAATGTATGAGTGTGCCTTTCCCCCCACATCCTCACCAACACTTATTGTTGTTTGTATTCTTGATTACTGCCATTCTGGCTAGAGTGAGATAAAATCTTAGAGTAGTTTTGATTTGCATTTCTCTAATTGCTAGAGATGTTGAACATTTTTTTTCATATATTTGTTGATTGCTTGTATATCTTCTTCTGAGAAGTGTCTGTTCTTTAGCTCATTTACTGATTGGGTTGTTTGAGTTTTTTGGTGTTAAGTTTTTTGAGTTTTTTATATATCCTGGAGATTTGTGCTCTGACATGTGTGTGGCAAAAATTTGCTCCCAAAATGTAGGCTCTCTCTTCACCTCACTGATGGTTTCTTTTGCTGAGAACTTCTCCATAGTTGATCATGAAGTCTATATTCTAGCCAACAGTCTCTGACAGAGGGCTGAAGGGGGACTGTTCACAGGAAAGCATTGTGAGAGACGAGGCTTCTGCTGATTTGAGCAGCCACTGGCAGATCCTTCAGGCTCACTGGGCTTGGCATTTCCATCGACGTGCCCATCTCACATAGTGACAGTATAGGATACAAGGAGGACCAAGACCATGAGCCAAAGAAATGGGTAAGAACTGCCTCTTGACTAAAATAACTAGATTTCTTTACTTGTTCTAAGGACTTAGTCTGATAAATGACTAAGACTGAAAATCAGGCCTTTGGATGTGCAGTTTTGTTCTCAGTTCTTAAGAACACAGAGCCTCTTTAGATAAGAAAAAAATGCCTGCACTTTCCTTCATACATTTGATTTATTGTTGAACTTATTTTCTTATCAAGAAGAGACTTGTTCTACTAATTAAAATGCAGAAAAATGATTAATTCAGATGTTTCTGATGTACTTGCCCTACCAGTAGTTAAGATTAAATGAATGACCTCAAATTCTCTCATTTGCTTATCTCTCCAAATAGTTCCCAAGTTTATACCTAGTCCCTGCTCCCGCTGAGGGGTCTCCAGCTGCCAGAACCCTGCTGGACAGGGGCATGTTTACAGAAAAGGCTCTCCAAGGAGGCCAAGGCTCTCCAGTGAAGTCTGTTCTTTAGGAGGAGCTCAAATCAACAGGAGACTTTCTATTTTTCATTAGGAGAAAAGAAGGAGGAGAAAA